TTGTTGTACACTCTTCATGTAATTACAAACTGTAGGGATTGCCTATGTGTAATCTCGTACATCAAACTAATAAAAATTGCCCGGCAATGTAAGCCACCTTAAAAATAATATATATATTATATACTTAACTTGTTAAAACTTTCCTTCTAAGTAAAGTTTTTAATAATAGAGATCAATACTGATCACTTTTGCTCAATAGATATCTTGAAAGTAAAGGAAAGTTATAAAACATTTTGGTTAAACTTTATTATGTAAAACTAAAAGTTGCCAATTAATGAAGTTATTTTTCATAGTAAAGTTTACTTTAAAAATTTTTTTATATTGTGTGACTCAGAGTTTTATGAGCTAATAAAATCAAATATCTGCTATAGTATAAAATACTTTTATTTATAATTATCTAATTATTAAAAACTACTATATTTTAAGAAAAATAGATTTCTACAGTATACTATATATAATTTAATTTTATAATTAAATTTAATAGCTAATATCACTGGTCAAATAAATTTATATTAATAACCTATTAGCATATCAATATTCTGATATAAAACTGATTTTAAACAGATATTTGGCTCGAATAGGATACTTTTTAATAACAAATCAGATTTAAAAAAATTGATAAAGCTATTAGCATACTAATATAGTTATTAGTTAAATATTATGATAAACTAATATTTATCTAATAGTTATATCAGTATGCTAATAGTTTTATTAATATGCTAATAGCTCTATTGATTTTTTTAAATCTGATTTGTTAATGAATAGTATTCTATTTGAGCCAAATATCTGTTTAAAATTAGTATCATATCAGAAATATAGATATGCTAATAGGTTATAATATTATACTAGTATAAATTTATTTAACTAATATATACTTTGTAATTTATTAGTACTATATAAATAGTTTATTAAAGAGGCTTAACAAGAAGTTATCTAATAGAAGCTTTTAAATAAATTTGAAATTAACTTTAAAATAAAAGAAAAAATAGTTCATAATAACTATATTTATTAATTCTTAGTTTAAAATTTATGAACTCTTCTTAATGATTCCTAAAACCAAAATAATAATGAAAAGAAAAAACTTTTATACATATAATAATACTTTATTTTTTGATATAATATATATAAGTGAGATTAGAAAAACTAAAAGTTTAATAAAATATATTCTATTATTGAAGAGTAGGCTACGAGCTATTCATAGATTATTAGTATTTTTATATATTATATATATTATATATTTTATATATATTTTATATATCTTGTTATTAAAAACAAGCTCGTTAGATATAAAAGTTGAAGAAAATACTTGAATAAAATAAAACATAATACTACTTCTTATGCTTTTAAGTTTATTTTAGATATTCTTACTATTACTTTTAAACTTTTAGCTAGTCTTAGAAACAGTTTTAACTGTTTAACAAACTTAGAATATTTTTTATATAAAAAGTAAGGAATGAAGCTTATCTTCTACTAAAGATTGGTATATACATTATTGACAAATTTGGAAGTAGGCTTATAGTATGATAACAACAAACATATATGTATTTTGAAGTTAGTATAACAAATATGTGATTTTATTTTACAATATAAACTATAAGTTTACTATAATATAATGAGCTATTATATATTCAATATAATAATGAATTGTTCTCAAATATTAGAGATATTTACAAATAAGTATATTTTGTATTATAATTTTTAACTACTCAGTCTTAAACAAGATTATATGTTTAAATATAATTCTTATGAGATATCTTTTATTTTCTTTTGCTTTGTTTTTGTTTTTGTTTTTATTTTGCTCTTTTTCTTTTAGCTAATTAGGATTTTAACTTATTTTTTTTTTTTTTTTTTTTTTCTGTTTAAGTAATCTTGCCTTTTCTTTATTAGAAGAAAATATATACATATATTAAAACAAAAATAAAAACTATACTAAGCTAGTTCTAAAATTGTCCTCCACTATTAAGTCCAGACTCACTCAGCTACTATTCAGTACTCAGATATGATTAGCCGCAATAGTAAATTTTCCTCCTAAAAGAGAGGTTTGTCTAAACAAAGTCACTCTCTATTAATCTACAGAAGGTTACTATATACCTATCAAGACTTCTCTATTACCCTACAATTGGAGACTGCCAATCTGATGATATCCTCTCATAGGGAGAAAAAAAGAAAAAAAAATTTTTAAAGAAAGAGAAATAGATAAAATATAAAAGAGTAATAAAAAAGAATGAAAATAAAATTTAAACAAAAATGAAAAAAAGAAAATTCTGAGTAAAAATTAAAGATACTATATACAAAAAATGTACTACCCTAGAGCATGTACTGTACATATAAGAAAAAGTAAAACCAAAAGAGGCTAAAGTTGACTATATAACTGTATAGCAGAAATATGGTCTGTAGTAAAAATTGTAAATAGTATCAACACAAATACTATCTATCTCAAATTAACTTTAATCTATTTTCATATCCATATTATGACAGATATGTGACTAGCTAATATCATGTGTATTGTTTTGTTATTGTTGTTGTCCTAATACATCATCTGTTCTAATTAGTAGAGTTCTGAACTAGTTTGTAATAACTCAGGTCATCTGTATCACAACAGATGACCCAGGTCTTCAATTTGTAACCTGGGTCAAATCAGTTAGATACGTATAATACCAGAAATGCTAAAAAAATATACTAGCTTTTACTGACTATAAAAAAGATTTGATCATTGATTTTAAATACTAATACGTATATTATAAAAAACTTTTATCATCTGTTCAAAAGAGAAATTCAATCAGTTTTTTTTTAATACAATTTCTCAAATACTACAACATCTAATATACGTATTCAATATCATTGCCCAAATATTTTTTACTTTTTTTAAAGCTTTTCTTTTTTTTTGATGATGAGTGATAACGAAGGCAATTATACTTATGAACTTTCTGAAGAACCTACGCCTCTTAATCTTTTTGAAAACTATACATCTTTTAAACTTTCTGAAGAATTTACATCTTTTGAATTTTCTGAAGAACCTACCTCTTCTTTAAATTGTGAGACTAGTAATAATATATCTATCAGTTTTAGCAGCATAACTTCTTTTACAAAAAAAAGAAAATTTAATCAACCAAAACCTAAGCAGCAATATATAAAGTCAAGTTGGGTATAGAGGTATTTTGAGTTGAGTGAAAATAGGATATTTGATGTATATAAAGTTAAAATAATGAATTTAAATAATCAAGAAGTTAAGTGTAGTCACAAATTTCTATATGATAGTAGTACAGGAAATATGAGCAGCTATCTTTAAGACAAGCATGACCTACATGAAAATCGGAATAAAGTAAGTATATTAATTAATATTTAATATTTGATACAATTAATTGTTATTAATAAATACTTATATTATTATATAGAATTATAATTATGCTATTCAACAGACAATACCTGAAGTTTTTGAACAGTCTAAAATTATTAAAATACATAAAGAATCATGAAATTATAAGATTCAACAGGCAATAACTGAATGAATTGTTATTGACAATGTATTATTTAATACTATTAAAGAAAAGGGTTACTAGAAGGTGATGAAAATTATTGACCCAGCCTTTCGTCTTCCTACTGATAAAGGGATAAAGAAAGAAATTATTAGCAACTATCCCAATGCAGTGAATAATTTAAAAAAATTATTAAACAATACATGTGAATTAGCGTCTTTAACAACTAACCTGTAGACCTCAAGAAGTAACTATAGATATATAGGTATAACACTTCATTGGCTATCAGATGATTTTAAAATATATGATTGTTTTCTTTGTATAGAGTGTATGCTATATCCGTATTCAGCTGAAAATATAGTTACAATTTTAAAAAAAAAAGTTTTTGAATTTGGGTTAGATGAAAAAATTAGTTGTATTATAACAAACAATAGTAGTAATATAGTTAAGGCAATTAGGCTGGTAGCAGCCTCTCGTTGACTAGGAGCTAGAAATTTGTATATACAAATTCAAACTCTTACGAGAGAAATAGTTGCTGCGGCAGATCGTACTTAGGTGCTAAAAAGCAACCGAGTGAGTCCTAATTAGTTTTAGGAAGGTAGTTTGCTGTAAATAGTATAGCATTTTACTTGTAGCTTAGATTAGCTTATTCTTAATAAAATGATGGGCAAGATCGTCTAAGTTTAAAAAAAAAAAAAATATATATATAGTTAAGGCAATGAGGTTATAGGAAGGTATTGAATGTCTGCTCTGTGCAGCTCACACTTTGCAACTTTTAGTTACTCATGCCTTTAAAAAAACAAATTTTTATATTAAAAGAATCAAAAAATTAGTTAAATTTTTTATTAAATCTCCTAAACAAAGTGAGCGTCAAGATAATGCACAACAAGAATATCAGTAGTATTTACAAACCCAAAACTATAATTTGGCTAAAGTATCAAGTTTCAATAATAGCGATTCAGATAACTTGCCAGTAAATATTGCAGATTCTGAAGAACCTATTTTACAAAGTATCGCAGATGTAGAGATGAGATGGAACTCAAAATACTATTCATAGAAACGTCTAATTAAATTGCATAAAGCAATTGAATGGTTAGATGTGATATTACCTTTATCAAATAATCTGAATGATAAAGCTGATAGTTGAAAGCTAAAAAAATTACTTTTATTACCTCATAAGTAGGATTTATTAAGTCAGATTGTAACTTTGATGGAACTATTTAATGATGTGACTACCTATTTTAGTAGCTCTAAATATGCTACTTTATCAATTATTTATCCTTTAATTCAAGCCCTTAAGTATACATTTGCTAATGTTGAAATAACTGATAATATTTTAAAGAAGAGGATAAGACAGATATGGCTTACTAGTATAGTAGTAGCAATTAACTTTATTAATAATTTATTAAATTTTTTAAATTTATTTAGAAGATATGCCAAGCTTTCGCTACGAAGAATCATTTGATGATAATAGTGATGAATCAGACTTTGAAATTTCAAAGCTTTAACAAACTATCACCAAATAGATTCAAATAGAGTTACCTCTACTAATTCATTAAACAATTTATTACAAAATGTTCAAGTAATTAAAACAATGTGAAGTATCATTTATAACTCCTTGTTTGATTACTGGAATGAACCTGTAATAACTAGTTTGTTAGCATCTTTTTTGGATTCACACTTGAAAACACTCTCTAGTTGGAATGAAAAAACTCAGGAAGAAGCTAAGGCTGAATTAACATATCAATTTGAATTATTAATTGCTACAAATTTAGAACAAATAATGGCATCAATATTTGAAATTTCAAAAAATAGTGATATTCCTGTGTCGATTATATTCATCAATTTTTGGCACTGCTACAAACAATTTTAACTCTGGTTCTTTAGATGAATTAGAATATTACTTGGATCCTATATGAACACCTCTTGCTAAAGATAATAAGAATCCATTTGATTGGTGAGCGAATTGGAAAATGAAATTTCCTAATGTAGCAAAATTGGCCAGAAAATATTTATCTATTCCTGCATCTTCTATGCCTAGTAAAAGGTTATTTTCAGATGCGAGTAATCTTATTACTGCTAAGCACAACTAATTAAATCCAAGGCTTGTAAACAAAATGATGTTTATGAAAAGGAATTTTGATGCAATTTCATTGTTTTAAATTTTTTTTGTTAATAAAAAATGCAAGTAGCGATTTTATTTTAGAGCACTAATAAAAATAGTTTGAGTTGTACAATTGTCAATACTTGGTTATTTTCTATTTTTAATAGTTTTTTATGCAACCCATATTCACTTGAGTCACCTGATTTTAATTTATACAGGTGACTCAAGTCAGAAAATTGCATTTGGGTCAGAACATTACTAATTAGAATGTAGTACTATTGTTGATTCTTTATTGAAGGTAAGCTAATTCCCTACTTTTCCTTAGTGAAAAGCTGCAAAAAATGCATTCATTTGTGTTAGTTAAAGAATCTATTAGGGTTGCTGCAAAAACTATCCACAGAGTAAATGAGAGGTGTAGTGTCTGTTTCTATATAGAACACTATTGGTTTAAACTCCTTCTTCTTCTCAACTTCTTTCTATATCTCTACTTCTTGACTTGAATATTCTATAAAGTAAACTTTCAGCTAAAATTTTAATATTGTCATCTGCTAGATCTTTCTACCTCTTATTGCCTTGTAGGACTTATTAGGCTATGCAACTCATGCTTCTATTCAATACTAAAATTTTACAAGGTTTTCTTAAGTTTTATCCCTTAGATTGTAGGCTAACGCAGGCAAATTTGCCTGCATTTTTGCATTCATTCAGCTCTGATTTACTTTTTT